CCAGTCCCGCCTAAGGAGACTTTCCGCTGTGCTTTTTGCAACCAGCCTTGCCTCTCCCGCATCAGCCTTTTTAGCCATCAGCGCGCTTGTAGCAAGTGTGGGTAGAGCCCTTCCCATATCTTTGTTCGCGAAGCCAAGCCATGATGACAATTACGCACATGTATGTAGATGACTATACCTATAGGAACCCAAATTTGAAAAGTGCTTTTTGTGCACTGTCAAAGTGTTAGTATCATAGCCTGACAGCAAGCATGGGGATCGGCCAACCCTACAGCTGTGGCTGGATAGAGAGAAGAGAGGGAAGGGGAGTATTTCAGTTGGAAGTGACGTACAACGATCAGTTCAAGGCTGATCAAATGTTAAACAATGTTGTTAAGGTTGCCCAAATGCCTCTTAAACACTGAGGGGCTTAGTGCATCTACTGCTTCTCTAGGAAGACTGTTCCAGTGTTTGACCATCCTCTTGGTAAAGAAATGCTTCCCAATGTTCAGTCTAAACCTCTCCTGGTGCAGTTTAGAGCCATTCCCACATGTCCTATCACTAGGCACCAGGGAGAAAAGATCAGCATCTCTCTCTCCACATTCCCTCCACAGGAAGCTCTAGGGAGCAATGAGGCCATCCCTCAGTGTCCTTTTCTCCAAACTAAACAAACCCAAAGTTCTCAGTCGCTCCTCATAGGACATTCCTTCCAGCCCTTTCAACAGGTTTGTTGAAAAGCACACATTCAAGGACCTTCACATTCTTGTTATATTGTGGGACCCAGAACCGCTCCGGGTCAGGCCTGACTACAGCAGGACAATTACCTCTTTCGACCAGCTGGTTATACTGTGCTTCATTAGTTCCGTGCAAATAAACCTTAATTAGCCCTGCACCTGCTTTAAACAAAGCGTGGCACTGCAGAGCTCAGTATTAGATTAACAACAGCTCAGTATTTACCCAGCTAGACAGTTTTGTAATGTGTCTGCTCATTGGACTAACTACCTTAAACTGAGCTCAGGTTTGTGTATATGACATTGGTAGAATAACCTTGCTCCCAGAGATAAGGACAGCTCAAAGCATGTGCCTGTTCTGCCACATGCTCCTTCTGTTCATTGTCAAAACTGGAACGATGTAGGGCCATGAAATGGCTGATACAATTAGTCAGACTTATCAACCCTTGTGAGAAAAATTAAAACAAAAGTTGCTTGTATGACTCATTATTTTCAAAGTAAGTACTTAACTTTTCCCTGATTTTTAAGGGCCTAATGCCAATGTTTCCTATTTGGCATAGAAAGCTTTCCAGAGGAAGAGTTCATGCAAATAGAAGTGTCTCTCTCTTTTCACTGACTATCCGGGAAATATGTTCATTTACTCAAGAAAATTTCTCCATAAGACACTTAAAATGTAGGTATTAGTCAGGTATTTATGATTAGTGAAATGATCCCTGGCCAGGGAATGACATGCTGCTACCAGACTCTGCATGCAAAGTTAAATGATCTCTAAGGTCCCTTCCAGCCTAGGCTGTTCTATGATTCTTTGCAGATGTTTTTGCCGTATCACAACTGTGAATATCAGAATTTCAGACTAGATCTAAGGAAGAAATTTTTTACAAAGAGGATGGTGAAACACTGAAGCAGGTTGCCCAGAGAGGTGGTAAAAGCCCCAACCCTGGAAACATTCCAAGGTCAGGCTTGATGGGTCCCTGAGCAACATGACTTGATTAAAGATGTCGCTGCTCACTGCAGGGGGGTTGGACTAGATGGCTTTTAAAAGTCCTTTCCAACTCAAATGATTTTATGATATTATTTGGTACAAAATATTTACCATCAAAGTTGGAAAAAGTATTAAGGTACAGACAACCACACACATTAGATGCTTCCTCATACGTGTGAGGATTTTGTAGCCTTCCTGCATGTTGGCTTCTTTATTTTTACCTCAGAAAAACACAGCCACTCAGCACCAGAGCAATTTGTGTTTCTTGGGCTTAATGGTTCAAAATGTGTACTTTTTATTATACACTGCCAAGCATCCACATGAGTCAGTAACTAATGCAGGAATACTATTAATTTCTGTTTTGGTCATCCCATATCACCTTCTTTTACATTTTGGACACTGACCAAGGCTTGAACATATGTATGCCAACAAAGAGATTTTGTAACCTGGATGCCTTACCAGCCCTGCATCCCCCAAAGCATTTAGAATTCTTCTTGCCAATCTAAAATAACTGATGTTTGATTGGAAAGATTTAAATAGAAAGTTTTTTTTCTCTTTGTTAACCAGCATGTTCCATTTCACTCAACTTTTAATAAAGTTCTTGTTAAAACAGAAACAAATTTCAAAATAAAATGCTGTAGAAAATGGAAAAAATCACACTGTTCTTTTTCAGAAAATGCTGAAACAAAACATTTTGACTATTGTGCCTGATTTTGTTGGGTATGGTATTTGGCAGCTTTGGCCTAAATCCCCAAATGCTTTTGACTGACCTTGATTTGAGCTTTTATACCTTTATACATAATTATTTAAGCAATTTTCATGTGGTAGAAATCTCTGTTAAAAACAGCACTTGATCATAAAATTGTAAATCTCATAACATAGATGCAAACCAAAACAGAATAAAAGATTCAAGAACAGTATTATAACTTTTTAAGTGTAAGAATGTTCCAGCTTTCAAACTTGAATTTTCTATTTTACTGAAAGTCAAATCATCATTAAAAAACAAAGAAATGAAATGTTGTGCCTTTACTTCAAAGACATGAGCAAAATTGCCTCAATTGCATCATACCTATAATCAACAAGATGTGAGTCTCTCCCTTCTTCTATAAACAGAGAGTATACAAAGAAGTACATGCCATGGCTTTTCCTGTTTCTATCCTCAGCTATGTGCATCACAAATACAGCTATTTTTTCTCAAACAGGTTACAAATTTAAGAAAATCATATACTGGAAAACACTCCTAAATTAGAACATTTCTACTGATGCCTGCACCATAATTATCGCTACAACACACAGTATCTAAAGCCCATACAGACCACATCCTCATCTCCAGGAGTAAATAAAGGCACACAGTCACTTCTTAACATGATGAACGAGCTTAACAGAATCAAATTTGGCTTACGTTTTAAGAGGTCCATCAGGATTCTAGATACAGGTTCTACAGTGTCTTAATGATTAATTTAGTTGAATTCACCAGCTTCATATACAAGTTAAATTAAGGACTGAGGGATGTATAAACTCTTCCAGGAAAATAGATCATAACACAGCCAGAAGTGACATTAGTTAGAACAGAGAGGATTAGCAATGCACACAGAATATCGATTAAGATTTGGTCTCTTAGACCCTAACTTCAGAGGAACGTATCTCTGAGGTCCCACTTTCTTTTCTACTTCCCCGTGACAGTACTCTTAGATCACTGTCTCACAGATGTTCCTTCAACACACACAACAATTTTTGAACAGACAGCAGTTTTGTTTGGGATTCATATACTCTTGGTTTACCAGTTTATACATATCAGTCTACATATATATATATGTACATTGGTGTATATACATAATGACTAGTTCCCTTTGCAAGAAAAATTATCTTCTGATTGATTGTTTCAAGTTTCCAGCCTTTAAAACTGCAGGCTTTTGGGACTGACTGGAGGAAACTTTGTCATATTGACTTGTATCAGGCTTGACATTCTTGGGGTAGATCTCCTGAGCTCCTTTCTTCCATGCAAGCTCCATCTCTGGAACAAACTGTACCAGAATGTGGTAAATGAACACAATAGCACAGCTGAATGCATTTAAACATAAAGGCTGCAGGGTATTGAATGTAAAGGCTGTCAACCTGAGATTTTAAACAGGCTAGAAAAGAAAGCAAAACATGGATATGCACTTGCTCTTTTTAACAGAACTTGCATATTCAACAGTTGAAAACATGGCAAAAAAATAGTGGATCTGTGGCTTCCACTAATTCTACAAAGAAAGTCTGGTAGAAAAGTTCCTAGTCTTGCCCTTGGGTTTAGCTGAAGGTAAATCTTCAGCTCCCACAACTGCAGAAGAGTAAAATCTCTTCACATTCTGCTCCCATTATGTTATGACCACAGATTAGCCATGGTCTAAACTCTGTCTCAGCCAGAAGAAACTGTGCCAAAACAGTAGC